TACGGAGGTAAATGTAGCATGTATGGGAATTCAGGTACCCTCATTACATCATAGTCTATCTCGTACATGTGAGGAGTAGCTTCATACGGTGTCGGAACTTCATCAATTGCACCTCCACCAAAAATATTTTCGTCGCCGCCCAAAACGGGTTCTTCAGTTTCTTCATCTTCGCTTGAATCATCATGAATTTCTCCCCATCGATTTTCAGCGTCAATATCAACAACCAATTCCGGTATGTTTCTCGTCTCATACTCTGCTGTTGTAGATGTCCCCCCGACTTCATTTACACTTTCCAATAGTGCCATAAAACTGTTCGGGAACCTGTATGTCGGCTCCTCAAACTGACTATATAAAGCCATTTCAGATGGATTTTGAGCCACACCTCTTGATGACCCAGGAACATCACATATGTTACGCACATCAACAAATAATTCAATAACTGCTATATTGGTTTACTCATGTAATCCAACCATGGTTCCAATATCATCATCTTCTTCAAGTGGAACTGCAGCATATCTGACTGGGTTAGAGCATATCATAAACCTATACCTCAAACCATCAACTGCAGCTCGAATTTTTCTTTCTATCTTATGCTTCATTTCTATAAATGTGATGTCTTTTTTGAACATCATATTTATTGGTTTTTCAGAATGAAAAACTACTCCGACCTCATTTTCCATAATCTGTCCATTATAATGGACAATCGTGAAAAAGTTGTTGCTCATTTTCTCTACAAATAAAAAAATAAATTAATTTAGATTAAAAAATTAGATAAGATAATTTCATAAATTATTAAATATAATATAATATACTATTATATTAATGATCAAATAAAATTTATTATTTAACTTGATTGATTGCTTACTAATAAACCTAATAATGATTTGATAATTACTATTAATATAATGATTTGATATTTAATGATTTAATAATAATATGATTTAGTCATAATCAATAAATTATTTATTATAAATATTTAATGATTTAGATTTGATACTAATCATTTAGTAATTATTACTAATAATAATGATTAGTTTGATAATAATTTTTATTTTTTAAAAATATCAAACAAATTTGTTAGGCAAAACTGTCGAGATAATGTTCTCGAAATAATTATTTCGCGAGATAATGCGTTGTCCGGATTATTTCATTCAATTAATTTTTACTTCTTACTAATATACACATACAATGTAAATTAAACAAAATATTTTTAAAACAACACTAAATATTTTTAAACACAATATTTTTTAAAACGGAAATTATCTCGCACAAATTAGTTTATATAATCTAATATAAACTTACTAACTAACTAATTTACACATACACAACAACAAAAAATGGACAACAAAAAATAATAAATTACTCACGTCTTTATGCCTTCTTCCTTTACTTTCTTTTCATGCCTTGTTTATTTCTTCGAATCAATCTGTACGTGGGCAAATATTGTGAAATAATGTCATGTATGTGTAAACAAAATATTTATTTAAACAACAATAGCTCCCACAAATTAATTTTATATAATCTAATATATTATAATATACCTTAAACTAATAAACTATTTCTTTATTATAATATAACTTAGTTAAAATAACAAACTAATTAAGCACTAATTAATTTTTTTATAATATAACTTCAACTTCAACGAACAACCTAATATACGTTTAAAGACACTAACAAATTAATTAATATTTTTTATATTTAATAACTTAAACTAAGAAACTAATTAACTAATTTTTATATAATATAATATAACTTAAACTAATAAACTAATATAATATAACTTAAACTAACAAACTAATAATTTATACTAACAAACTAATTAACTAGATTTTAGTTTTACCCTAAACCCGAAACTAACAAACTAATAATTTCATATAATAAACTAAATTAAACAATAAAAAAATTACCTCACGAACTATGTTTGAGCCTTTATCTTCTTTTCTTCTTCTTCCTTTTCTTTCTCTCGGCAAAGTTTATATGTGCTTATGCTTCTGGTTCTGCTTGTGCTTTTACCCTAAACCCCATATCCTTTATATAAAGCAACTGAGCGTTGGACAGAGTCATTAAATTTGATTGTTGAAGCAAATAATATTAGCATTGCATCGTCTAACTATTGAGCATTTAAAGGCTGACAGCTAAATTAACGCTGCAATAACGCAACTATAGATGCAACACATACAGCTACGGGTGCAGGAATCTCTCAGCTATGATGCAACGCATGCATGCAGCTACAGCAGCTACAGGAATCTCCCAGACCTTGGTCGCCGAGACTCCATGGCGACCTACCTACCTTCCCGCCGTGACCTACACCGTTCGACGTGCATGGCCCATGCACAGTTCCCACGTCCCATGCACAGCATGCATCCCCTCCCCCATGCATTCCCACGTCCCATGTTGATTGCATGGCGACCTATTCCTTTGCAAAATACACACAGGTCGCTCGGATGCCATGGCGACCTCCAAGGTCGCCCGGATGCCATGGCAACCTCCAAGGTCGCCCGGATGCCATGGCAACCTCCAAGGTTACTGTAGAATTCACCCCATTCCAACAATTAATCTGGGATGTGCATTATATCGTGAATAAAAAAGTTCGAGAACATTATCTCGTGAATTCACCCCAATAAGATTATCTTATTTTTAAATTTTCTTTAATGTGATGATGTTAAGATAAATGAAAAAAACAACTATTAGCAATAATGATAATAAATAAATAAATGATAAACAACATATTTTTGTAATCATCAAACTATTTTTTTAAATATACGTTTTTGTTCTGTTTTAATCACCTATCATTAAAAAATAAATAAAATTATTCACATAATATTTTTTATTTTTTTAATAATGATATTACATTATCTTGTGGTGATAGTGTAAGTATCCCGGGTTGTTTTCCCATTTTTAAATTAAATTATTATTAATATTAACATTCATACGTTGTTTTTTTAATGTAATATAAGATTTTTTTGTAGTTTGAGTTTGAATCGAACTCGAATTTGACTTCAATCAAGCTAGGACTGAGAATATTTTGAGTTCATATTTTTCGAACTCAAATTGAACTTCAATTTCTGATTTCAAGTTCAAATCAAGTTTGACAATTCTAAACTTACAAACTTTTAAATCAAATCAAATTTAATTTTAAATTTTTTAAATAAATCAAACTAAAAAAAATACTCAAACACGTTTAAATAATTTTAGCATTTCAACCCAACAGCTGCTTTTGTTGTTAGCAAAGTTTGAACACCTCTTTCGCGAAAGCGCGTAGGCCATCCGACGCCAAAAACTGTTTCTCGGATAATGGAGTCTTCGGCTTAATTGGTTTTAGCACTTGAACCCATTTGATTTCTGACTTCACTCCATTTTTCGCATTTCCTATCGTCATCGCTGGCGTCATTTACTTCTTTTTAGTTTTTGTTAAATTAATTAATTTATAATTTGATATAAAGGTATACATTATGATTTTTGAATTAAAATACAAAATTTAATTTACTTGACAAATTATATTTTCCTACTTTTACTTTTTATTTTATTTTATTTTTGCATATACTTTGCACTTGTTAATTATTTTAAATTTGGTTTATAAAATTAAATTTTTAAAACTTAAATCAATTGTATACATTGGATTAATAAATTTACTAAAAAAATATTATATAAAATTATATTGGCAATTTTATTAAAACTAATTATCATAGATTAATAAAAACTTATATGTTCTGGATCGATATCCGATTGATAGTTTTTAGTTATTTTATCAAAATGATTATATAAAAAATCAATTAACATTGATACATTTATATTTTAGATTTTTTTAAAGTAAATTGATGCCCACTTGTAACATGAATTCAATCGAAATTTTATACAGAATAAAAATAATTTTATAATACTTCAATATGATTTTAAAATGATTAAATTTTATTTATTTTATAAATAGAAATAAAATAAAATTTAAAAACGTAGATAAAAAAAGAAAGAATTTATTTTTATTAAATCTTAACAAAATGTTAGATAATAAAATTTTGTTTATGGTTACTTTCATTATTTGAAAGGTTTAATTAGAAAATAAGTGTCTAAATTGTATCGTTTTTCCTAGATAAGTGCCCAAATTTTTTTATTCATCGAGGTGTTTAACGATACAAATATTATCACTTTAAGTGTCTAAACCGTAATGACCATTAAAACATTCTTTTAAGTAATATGTGTCATGTTCTGTTAATTTCGAGAATTTTATTTTAAAAAACTTGTAAATATCTTTTTATAAAAAATTTCAATTTTTTTTAGAAAATATTTAAAAAAAACAAAAACTTTAATTTCAAATCTATATTAACGTTGGCTGCCCCAATAGTCTTTTCGGCCACCGCCGACTACCACCATCGTTGTCAAACCACCATCCACTCATTGTTATTCACCCAATAACTGATCACTATTCTTATCATTGCCCTAATCCCTTAAATCTCTAAACACTTAAAAACCCTAACCAAAATCCACTCAAGTGATAACAATCATGTGGCGTGGCCACCAACAAATTAGGGTTAAAGATTTAGAATTTATAAAGATTTGAGTTTATTTTATAATTTTTAAAAATTATGATTTTTTATAAATATAATAATTTTTAAATTATTTAAATAAAATAAAAAAATTTAAATTATCAAAACATAACATATGTCATGTCATTTAATAAATCTTCTAACAAATATTATGATTGAAATATTTAAATTGATAACATTTAAAACATTAAATGTGTAAATGAATAAAATATTAAACATCTACTTTGAAAAAAAAAAGATAAAAACTTATTTTCTAATTAAGCCTATTTGAAAACATAGGGCCAACTCTCAAGACAAATCCAAGTGGTGGCCCGCAGCCGCCACCTCACTATTAAACTGTCATATCAATCTGAAATCCACACGTGTTAATATAGCACACGTATTCAAAATGTTTCAGGTAGGTAATATAATGACGAGCAATTCTAGATTTCTAGTACTCCATTATCTTCCTCTAAAGCTGATCAAACTTCACTTCACAGAAGGAAAAAAGATGTCTAGCTTCGGAGAACCTTTACGTATATCGCCGGACTATTCCACCGGCTTCGATCACTCTTACATGCAACAAGTTCCGGTTAGTTATGCAGGACCACGTCTCCCACTTTTAAACCTCTCAACAGTGAAAAGGAGAATGGATCCCCTGCAGCACTTCTTAGCTCTCTCTCTCAGCACCAACACTTTGATCTCCAACGAACAAATGGAGCTCATGTCCTCCGAAATCGCCTCTGCCATCCACCAAATTATCGTTAACGGCGCCGCCCTCCTCTCTTGCGCCAAAAACACCCATCCCCCAAACCCGAACTCGACTCCGAAACCGAAATCCGACTCTTACAGTTACAACGGTGGAGAGTCTGACATAATCGAGTTAGACGCGGTGGAGTTGCTGTCGGAACATCTACATCTCTGCGAAATTTGCGGTAAAGGGTTCAAACGTGATGCCAATTTACGGATGCATATGAGGGCTCACGGGGAACAGTATAAAACCCCCGAGGCATTAGCAAAGAAGAGACCAAACGGATCGGAGATCAATAATTCGGGTCGGGAAACCCGGTTTTCGTGCCCGTATAGTGGGTGTAATAAGAACAAGACGCACGAAAAGTTTAGGCCTTTGAAATCGATTTTTTGTGTGAGGAACCATTTCAAGAGAAGCCATTGTCCGAAAACATACGGTTGCAAAAAGTGTCATAAGAAGAGGTTTTCGGTTTTAGCTGATTTGAAGAGTCATTTGAAGCATTGTGTGGGCGGCGGGGAAGAAGAGAGCAAGAAGTGGATGTGTAGCTGTGGGAATAGTTTTTGCAGGAAAGATAAGCTTTTCAGACACTTATCTTTGTTCGAAGGCCATATGCCAGCAGTGGCGGCGGAGGAAGGCGACCGGAAGTTGCAAGGAGCGGCCGCAATGGAGGAAAAGAAAGAGGAAGGGTGTTTGAGGGATGGGTTGTTTGACGGGTTGCTTGATGGATTTGGGTCTCTCGAGAACTATTGTTTGCAAGATCTGTTGGGACCATAACATGTTCGTTGGAGTAACTCTTTGCAATAAGCCTATTGGTATTGGTTGTTTTTCGAAAATCTCTTTTTGTTACAATAACATGTTCTTCTTCCTGGTGGTGTTTTACTTGCAGAGCCAACATGATGAGCTTTGATTCTTAAAGTTGGTTCTTTTGGCTGTAATATGTTACTTCATGGATTCTGTGGTTATAGTCCAATTATAATAAATGAAATTGTTGATTTCAAGCTTCTTAAATCAACATAGGATTAGATGGGTTCATTGGAAAGGATCTTCTTCCTTTGTTTTTTAATATGAATTTATGTTCCATAGTTGTATTTGGATTTGTTCAAGAGATTGGTCAAGTAAGGTTTGTTTTAAATTTAAAAGGGTTTTGAATATCATTATTAAGTTTTTTTCTCGGTAAAGTAAAATTTATTTATTAAAACCTAGACTAAAAGCCTCATTAAAAACCTACTAGAGGAAAAAAGTATTCTTAACTAGAATAGAAAACAACACCATAATCTAATTATGTCACGGATACAACTAAACGAAACAGCAACCCCATGTACCACAACCAGCAAAATCTCAAACAGCACACCCACCATCTAATAAAACTCGCAATAAACAGGACACAACTAACAAGCGTCTGACCTACATGCTTTGTTAACAACACAGCCCTGCAAATAACAATAAAATTAGGAGAGAAATCTATAGATACTTATCCATCTATGTCTATCATCATCATCAAATCGCCATTCTCACCCATCATCACCAAAATCCTAATTTTAACTAAAGTATCTATATCATATTATATTCATTATCTTTGTTTCTATTTCGTTCTCTTTATTCTATCTTATTTGTCCTCACCTCGTCTATCTTTTTTAATTTTCTAACAACTTAAACTCCACAAAACCTAGTTGCTGCACATTATCATCTTCCATCTTCCTCTCATTCTTTGATCGAGTCTAAAACTGATGAGTGTTCTAAATCGATATTATTTGTTTGTTAAATCTTCGATCTTATGGATTTATTGTTGCTGATTTGATTGTGTTATGCTTATTTTGTAAAAGATCTTACTTTCTAGAATTAGTAGTAAAAAATGGTGCATTATGTATTTTTATTATTATATGATCACGGCTGAAGATATGGGCACGATTCTGGGCAAGATACAGTCTGACATGGCAGTTTCTAGAAGGTACAGTCAGCAACATTTTTCTAGAAGATCTAGTCAGCACCTTTTGGAAGGTGAACATGCAGAGATATCTTAGGAGATTTATTTTTAATTTTAAAGTTTGATTTTCGAAAACATTTGAAATTATCTTTAGGATTGTTTTTCTTTTAATTTATATGTTTATCTTTAAGATTTTAGAGGCTATAAATACCCTCTCGGGGGTAAGCCTAAACACAACTCAGAATTACTCTTCTACTTCTTTCTAGTTTTATAAATTTATTTATTTTCTTTTCTTTTCAAGTTTTCGTTTTTATTTTATTTTAAATTTTATTTTTAAACATACTAAGTATGACTTTTGTCATGCTTAGCTAATTTTCACATAAGCCGAGAGCTGAAGCGATGACCCAATTCCAACGTGAGAATTGAAAAGCACCTTAATAACTTCGGAATATCTCTCTCAATCTCTACGCTTATTTTTAAAATCAAAACAGTTTTCAAAATCAAAGATTGACTTTGGGCAAGATGTTATTGCGATTAAATGTGTGGGAGGAAGGATCGGCTTATTGAAAGCACATTCAACTTCCTGGGAACTTGGCGAGATTGCCTTGCCAAGAGGGAATTGAGATCGAAATTGGTAGTTATTGAAACAACAATCCGAGTCGGTCTTCACAAACTTAAACGATTATTGATCTATGACAATTGATGTTGATCAAATCAATTTCCAAAGATTGAATCAAAAATTGCCTTGGGTATTCGGTATACAAATAGAGTCACGAGGATTGCCCTTGTAGACAAAGTAACCGACGTGAATCCTGAAAAGAAAATCCAAATCAATGATCCGAAGGAAATTGAGTCAAAGCGAGGCTTGAGGCCGTTTTTACCATATTCATTTTCAACCTTCAATTTTTATTATCGTTTTTTTATTTTTAATCCTTTTTACCAAAACCTTTTTTTACTACTTATCACCTAGTTTAAGTCATTCAAACGAAAATTTGAAATTTTCTAAGTCCCTAAGGATCAACCCTTACTTCTCTTTACTACATGTTTCATTTATTTATTAATTGAGAAGAAGGAATTTATTTTGACATAAAAACGACAATTGTCAAGAACTTTCTATGCTTGATTCCTCGACAAGAACAACGTTCACTTATCCGCTGTCGCTTTTCTATCAATTAGTAGTCTACAAGTACTAATAAGTTATCTCCTCGCCGAGTATCCATACAATATAAACTCTATAACATATCAATTATACTTGAAACTATATTAAACACGAAAGAATCAATAATTACAAATTGAATAATAAGATTTTTATTTTTACAATTCAATTTATCAATGATCATATTTCCTATATGACTATTAGTACTTTCATTGCTTATTTTCAATATCAGATTTAAATCAAAAAAATTATTTTACTTATCGAATGTAACATATCACACAACTCACCTTTGAAGATACCAGCATCCTTATACATATCAAAATGTCGAAAATCATGTTAAAACATAATACAACATGCACTAACATTGTTCAACCCAGCCATTATCGTGTTTTCGTACTGAAATCACAATTTAACAATTAAAATACATAGCTTGCCTACGTCAAAACATAACAACAATATATATATCGACAGACTCGATTTCGACTAAATTCATTTAATCTAAGTTACTGATATATCTCAGATCAATAATTTACTCATTTATCTTAGCTTTCCCTCTTTCCTCTAAGGTCTCCACCAAATTATCTTGAGCGTGGAAATATATGGACGCATCCAAATGCATTGTAATACATTAAAAATTAAAATCAATATAAAGATGACTACACTAGTTATAACGTTAGGAATCCTTCACTAACCACAATAAACACATCGTTAAAATGCCTACGTCAAAAATATTTTCAACCTTCCTTCGCCTAAAAGGGGAGAAAACATCGAGATTTTTTCCACATAAAGAGTTAAACGACTTAACTTTCTACCTAAATCAAAAAAGGTGAATCGTTCATCGTTAAAACAATCCTATCAAAATTTCATCAATAAAATATTTTTAAGAAAAACAAACAATCTCAAATTATGTCACAATATATCATTCTAAAAACTAAGAAAAATAAGTGTTGCACCTATAATAGATACATCTCAACGAGATCCACGAAAAACCTTTGTAAATATATGTCAAGAAAACGAGAAGTTATGTTGAATTACTATGTAAAACAAATAAGTTTTATACTAATTTATAGCTATTAGATTTAAATAAATTTTTTACTGAAGTGTCGGTTGGGTTTTATTAATAAAATAAAGTCCAGTTGTCAACCACAAGATGAAAAAACAAAAAAACAAAGCCAACGGTCACAAGGGGATGTCTCATGTACGACAACTTTAATATACAGATAAGGAAAGACGCTACCGGAAATGTTAATATTTTTTTAACATTTCTAGTAAAGCGATACCTAAAACATTATTTTTCTACCAGAAATGTTAATATTAGGCGCTACCTAAAATGTTATTTTTTCTACCGGAAATTAGATAGGAGAATTAACATTTCGGGTAAAAAATAATGTTTTAGGTAACGTTTTACTGAAAATATTAAAAAAATATTAACATTTCTTATAATGCATTTCTTTAACTATATATTAAGGTTGCCGTACAACATAACTACTTAATCACAAGACAAAACCAACAAACCCAAGACTAAGAGTGCTGGACAACTCAAAGAAAAAATAAACCAAACAAAAGGAAAGGTAAATGGGAAATAAACCAACAATCTCTCTCTATCTTCAATCAAACAACATCCACAGCTAGGAGAGAGAAAAAAGAACAAGAAAATAGAGCCTGAAACAAACATCAACACCGTGTAAATCCATAGGAGATTAGGGAGGAGTGATCCATCTCTTGTCTTCATCAACCTGAAGCATCACTTTCTCGGGAGCATAATCATCCGAGGCCAAAATATGAACGGCCGCATTATCAGCTCAGGGTGTAAATCGGAAGGACACCGCATGAAAGGAGGCCGCTAGTTGCTTCTCGGTCCAAGATTTAAATAAATAAATGGTTTAAATTTAATTTAAACTTTATAATCCATAAATAAATATTTTTTAACTCACAGTAAAATAATTTCTCCTTTTACTCTCTGTTTTGAAAACCGGACCGGATCGGCCGGTTCAATCGGTTCAATCGGGAACCGTTACTTAGTCCGGTTCAATTTAAATCGATTGAACCGTTATTAGTGAACCGGCCAGAACCACTGAACCGTTGGAACCGGATCGGCTGAAAACCGGAAAACCGGAGAAAACTGGGATTTTTGTTTTTTTTAAAAAAAAAAATTAAACTAAACAACGTCGTTTGTTAAACGAGCCAAGTCAAACTCGAGTATTGCTGAGCTTGACTCGAACTTGAAAACTTTAAAAGTAAGCTCAACTCAACTCAAACTCACAAGCTAAAAATTATCAAGTCCAACTCAAACTCGAAATATAATATTGAAACTTGAACTCAAAAACGCTTGAACTCAAAAAAAATTTAAAAGCTCGATTGAAGCCTAAAATTCAAGCTTGATTGAAGTGAAAGAATAGTTCACTCAATGCTCACCAAAAGGCTTCCATGATTTTGAATGCCAAATTACCTCTATTATTTATAGAAGTTAGTTGTGATGCGCTTCTATGTTTCTTAGCAATGTGAGATTGTTTTGTTCTCATATTTTTTACTCTTTAGACTTTTGGGATGCTCTTCTATGTTTCTTAGCCATGTGGGATTGTTTTAAAAAAAATTAAACCAAACAATATCATTTTGTTATGATTTTTTTAACCCAAAATTTATTTTTTTAATTATAGTTATATAATTATATTTATTATTTAATATGTTTTACCT